GGAGAAACGAGAGAAACGAATGAGATGCGCTAATTCAACCACGCAAGCAATAACAACCATGGCCTTGCGATTATTCGATTGCCTACCGTTTCGGCGTGACAAGGACGGTTCAACTATTAATTGCAGTATTACTAAATGTATACAAACTAATGTACACTCACACACTTACACACAATGTTACAACACGCATACCTGGACACCAAACCTCACACGACAACAGTTCACTTGTACACACTGGATACTTCACATCGGATAAGAAGACTCTTGTAAATAGTTAGCATGTAATTGATATTATATAGGCGACAAGACCTATTAATATTAACATCAAATTTATTTATAGTAAATTTTCCGAAATACCGTATACCTGTGTTATATATTAATCAACATGACCTTTCCCATCCCAACGGGAATACAACGGCGACCTATTCGCGAGCGGGCGGGTGGGGGTGATTGGCAATGAACAACGACGCTTATGTACAGAACAGTGTATTTGTTTAATCTACAATCTTATCGTACATCACGTAAATTCTGAGTATTCTAAAGCCGCGTTCACGGCGGCGTGTTATCGTTACAAATCTACGGTGCATTTATCGCTGAGTATATTGCACATCGTAAGTAACGTGTTTAACACCTATTCAAACTTCAGGGGATCGTCAAATTAAAAACAAAACACTGAAATTGTTCTCGGGAAATAATCATTTTACTGAACGATGTTTCTTTGATTCGGCAAATGGGATAACAGGTGCCTCTTCAGCTCGGGCATGTTTTTCGGGGTTTCGGAACACTTGTGACACTTAAGCGGGGTGTTCAAGTGCTCCGCGCTATCTTCGGATTTCAACTTTTTGAGTTCGCCTTTCTCGCGCAACTGGTTACAGATGTCTAAATTTGGTAAAAAGAAAAATACTTCGAATAAAATACTTGTAAATCTGTACAACGGTTCGGTTGTTTAATTGGGATTTTGCTCTTCGAACGAATTCTTACCTGCTGAATGCAAGAAGAAAGGGGTAGTGAACGAATTCCAGTGGTACTTAGTTTTTAGACACGGGCTGTTGAAATCTGTACTTATCACGTGTAAATGTAACCGCTGCATACTCGGAACAGCATGGTATCCAATACTACAAAGGAGATTTTCAATTGGTACGAATACTTGACTTACACCTAACAAGTTGTACATACAGAAATTCGGAATCTTTGTGTTCTTTAGTTAAGTCCTCAGCGACTTTAGCCATGTGCAGCAGTAAGTCTTCATTTTCCTTTTTCAGGTGCCAAATCGAAGGGATGTTTGCTTTCGGCAGAACCAGGTAATGATACTGGGCTTTCGGATACTTATCTTTGATGACAACTACCCTGTTATCCTCTTTTACCCGGAGTTCAGGATCTTCCATGGAGACAAGCAAACCAGTCATCCAGTGATGTTTCTTAGGGGCCGTTACATCCGTTGATGCGACCTTCGGTTTGCGTTTCATGATTGCTCTTAGACACTGTATTTTTGTGGATAACGATTTCTGCAACAACCTATATTCACAAATTTTGGCAATATGTCCGCGTTATAAATAGAATAATTCCCTGTTACATAGTAGATAAATGTTGCAACAATAAAATAACAATCGAAATCAATTGTAATTCGTGATTTATTTTAAAAAAACTTGCACATTAGACATTAATCGTGATGGTACTCACTTTGAGGCCTAGAATTTTTATACTAATCAAAAGCACGGTATAAACATTTTAGAGGTTAGGTTTACTGTATCACAACTATTATTATGCATTAAAGTAAGTTGACCAACTTCTATTAGCATATTCGATTCGCATCGCACGCTCGCGTTGTTCTCGTCGCTTTCCCACTAGTTTAATCGTATTAAACACAGAATTTCAGGAACGTTAAATCAGTTTGACGTTTGCGAGAGCTTTGTTTAGTACGCATGCGTCTGCGCGGATGATCTTCACAAAGTATCGCGCAGACTTTCAAAAAGAATGACCGTTACAACGTTGTTTTCGCGCGAATTACGACAATCATTCCGCCACCGTACACATTAAATGAAAGTAAAATGCGAATCAAATCATGGAAACAGAAACGGGAACGCGCGAAAGATGCGTATGACTCGTAGAGCTCATTAATAAAGCGACTAAAAGTATCCTTAGCGTACTTATAAATGCGAACGTAACGAAAGATACGAAGCACACGAAAAATAACGCCCAGGAAAAGAAACAAATGGCTTAGCGAATAACTTTAGATTTATTTATTTACTCAAATGGAAGGCAATCGATAAATTTGCAACAAATAAAAATAAATAACACTCTCTCTAGCAATAATTACGTGATCGTTACTTAAACGTATATATCATTACAATAAATTCATAGTTACTTAACAAAACTTATACCATTTCTTTTTTCGCATGCTCATACAAAATACGTTCGTGCGATTGTATATGTGTCCTTGTTTGCTGTGTGTATGTACGTATGCGTGTACGTATGAGTGTGTATATGTGTGTGTGTGTGTGTGTGTCTCTGTGT